AGACGACGTAGGAACGGTGAAGTAAGGCGGTGCCGGCAGCGGCAGCTTAGCGGCTAAAGGAGGGGCGTCTTGCCTGACTGAGAGCGTGCTTGGTGGCAGGGGGGAACGCCAATACCTAAAGAATTTCCATCAAAACAGTTATATAAAGTTATTGTGGGTGTTATGTAACCGTTTCGACACCACGCAGTATTGTCGTAAACGAAGTAGAAAACAAACAAACGACAAAATGCTCCGGTTACACAAAGCTAGAACAGCAGGGACGGGCCGCGCAACCAGCGTAGCACAGGGCGGCAGGATGAAGAAGTCCGGAGGCCCATCACCTTCGACAAGCAAATGACCTGCTTTTCTGGTAAAGAGTGGAAAACCCTTCACATACGAGCCCGTCTGTTCAGGGAGCAGGGAGATGGTTTTACTTCTGTGAGGTACAAGACCCAGATGCGAAGGCAAAGTTGTCTTTTGTCCTTTTAAAAGTAAGTTGGAGGCAGGTGAAAAAAAGAAACGCGCTCAGAAGACCACAGAAAGCATGTTTTTTAAAGAGCCACAGCTGCTTAAGACATATAGATGGGATATTAGGTCATTTACATATGCTTAAGGAGCACCCTGTTAAGTCAGAGGCACAGCCAGCTGTAAGCTGATAAAAAGCTATTATGTTTCGACCAACAGTACAGACCAAAGACACAAATGATGTCAAAGCTAGCCAGCCCTGCCGAGATCCCTCCAAGTTCTTTCAGAGGGCCATTGGGTTAAGCAGAGGGAAGACACCTTGGGTAAAAGTTAACAGCTAATCATACACAAAGGTCAGTCAGTTAGCCTCGGCTAGGAATGCTTCTGGTCTGTTACTTGTCCACCCCAGTTTATCCCCTTTTAATCTGACTGGTGTCAGTGTCCTCACCATGCTTTTTAGACTATCCCATAAAATACAAGTAATTTTAAAACTAAGGCTAGAAGTATTTGTCAGGCAGCATATATTACCAGCATCCAACCTTTAGGAAGTCACAGGGTTTTTTTTTTCTCTGCTCACAGTTCTTTGAGATACAAGGAAGCAGGCTTGGCACAATCTGTGTGTGTAAATGCAACTAAGTTTCTCACCGATCCCTTTTACCAAAGCTCTTAAGCCTGCTAGCTAGCGGGACAGAATTCTTCTAAGGCTTTACATTGAATGAAATGAAGGCAAGTGGGCAGGTGAGGGATGCTTGAATCCCTTGAGTAAGAAAGCTCAAGCTCTAGCCACTATTTTACATCTTGGCAAGTACAAATGGGACCTCAAGGTCCACACAACCACCATTGCTTCTTCACTTCTGCTTGTTGAATTGGAATTCAAGTTCTCTCCTATTCTTGAAGCAGAAGTGGCAACCCAATCTTAAATGGATGAAATGAAACAGTATTCTTTCATTTAACTCTGGGCTTTATGTCTTGTCAGTTTAAGAATTAATCATAGTCCCTTTAAGGACTAGTCTGCAGAAGAAAAAAACCCACCACCAAACTTGAGAGGCCTAAGTAGCAGCAATGAAAATAGCTGTTTTATTGCTTTACATACAAAGCTTACCCTGAATATTACCTTTAACCTTCGTATCTATGGAAATATAAACCTAGAAAGACAACTAGAGAGTTCCACCACTTAGTTTTGTGACTCTACATGCACGTCTAAAGAAAGAACTTGCTAAATTCAACATATTCACCACAAATTACGAAGTTTTATAACTAGCATCCTCAGGAGCCATCAACTGTGAAAAGCATGGGGGAAAAAAAAAAAGGTCAAGTAAGCTAAGTGTTAGTTCAGTCTTGCAGAGCAAAAACCTAGAATTCAAAACTTGGTAATGTACCTAAACAGCAACTCTGACGCTACTGCTTGTCTGGGCATAGACAAAGATTTCAGCCAAAGTTAAATCCTTTATGGAAAATACATTTTTAATAATTGAAGTGCTGCATGTCCAGTCACCATCCTCCAATGAAACTATGATGCCCAAGTTTCATTTTCCTGATGTTTACAACTGGCATGTTCTTCCTTAAATATCATACAATCCTCTCACACAGCATTTTGATTATGATCTTTGTTGTCCTTCATGAAAATCATCACAGGGCTACCCAAGACTCTTGGCACGCATATGAAAACAAACAGTGATGAAAATTTGTAAACCAACTTTATTCAACGATGACCATCATTTAGGCATCAGCAATAGTAACTTCAACTTCTACACCTGGTTCAATGCTGATGGAAGTGATCTGCTTCACAATCTCAGAAGGGCTGTGTAAGTCAATGAGCCGCTTATGGATACGCATTTGGAAACGATCCCAGGTCTTGGAACCTTCACCACAAGGCGTCTTCCTGGTAGTGATTCGCAGAGTCTGAAGAAAAAATCATAAGCACAGGGTGTTTAGTTGATGCATACAGAAGACTAATCTACAATCAAATCAATCCACCTAAAAATACTGTATGGTATCTATGTCATTGGAAACTTACTTCCTAAGTTACATTCTACTGTTGTTAACACTCCTTCCGTACATTCAATTTAATTTAGAAAAAAGTAATTTTCACGATTAAAATAAATTTAAGGACAAATTTCCACATTCAACATGTTTTGCACTAAACAGTTACCCCAAATATCAAAGCAACTTGTGAAGTCATTATCTGTTTACAGTGGGTCACCCTCAGTTTAGTAGTACTGCTTTTCATCGCAACTTTTTTTTTAAAAGATGTTTTAAGTGCACATTTGCAGAAAACCCCAAACTTTTAAGGCAGCAAAACAGTGTTAAGTACCTTAGTGGGCATGCGAACAGGTCCTTTCACCTTTAGGTTTTTTTCCTTAGCACCTCTGATCAAGTCAGCACAGACTGAAAAAAAAAAAACCCACAAAATAGCTCAGGTTTGGGGTTTGTTTGGTTTTTTTTGCGTTCCTAAGTGAAGATTTCATACAGGAAGCTGGCTCAGAATAGCGTATGAAATGATCATTTCTATTCATTTGAAGGGTTATCCTCATAGCCAACCACACAGAAGTGGAAGCGTTATGCCACGGTTAGAAAAATCATGTTGTAACAGTAGGCAAAAACCATTACTAAAAGCTTAAGCTGTATTTAAGCTGTTATCAGTCTGAAGATCCTGCACCAAACAGTGATTCTACAACATTTACATTATATGGTTAAAAGACTGGCAAACCCAGTTCCTAAACAAGATTAAATAATTCCTTAAGGAACGTTAAACTTCTAAACTCTTTGTAACCAGACTGACAAAATATCAATCAAGAAAGTGGTGCCTTTCAGTTCTTAAACATCTAGTAGTGACAACTAAAACGCCCACAATAACTAACAGGAAGAAGCTGCACTCATCTTAAGTTTGTCATTATGACATGAAGTTTTCAGCATGACGAAAAACCCCTAACACTAGCTTCCATTAAAAATTAAATTAGAATCTACTTGTCAGCGTATGAAGCATTTTGGGTTGATGTTGTTAGCCAAGTCACACACAAACAGGCAAACGCCAACATCTTTAATTAGAGCTGCTTTGAATACATTGTATTTTGCAATATCTTCTATCCTATATAGCATTCATTACTTAACGAGCTACCCCAGCTAAACAAGGAAAAAAAAAAAATCACTCACCCTTCTCAAGTGATTTTACATTGCGACTCGTCAAAGTAATTCTAATGCGATGAATTGCTACCTCTTGTTCCACAGGTGCTTTGCCAGTATCTTTAAATGCCTAAAATGTTAGAAGGTACAAATATCAGCCACTACGGTCAACTCCAACTAAGGCTATCCTCAGCCTCTTCAAAACAGACTTCTAGAGCATAAAGAAGAATTTTGCTATGAGACCATTTTATTCTATTGACTAGATGATGTATCCAAAGGGTACGGTGGCACAGAAGAAATGGTGGGAACAGAACAGAAGGGCAAAGTCCTAATTGCTTTGAGGCAGATGGTGGGAAACTGCAAGCACATCCCATCCCTGGTTTGCCGATATACAGCAGGTTGTCCTGTCACTAACCTTCCTAGTCCTCAAAAATAAACACATTTCAGATTTTACATATACTGCAGCTTAACCCCACTATAAATCAAGTAACAAGTATCTCAACAGAACAGCAACAACTTAAACAGCGAGAACAGAGAGAGGCATCTGGCCAGAAGGACTAATTCGGCCACTCAGGAGACCGATTTGAAGAGCTCATGCAATTAAACGCTTGCAATTAACTTGGCAGTAACGTGGACCAAGAGGATTGATTTAAGAAAATAAAAGTGAAAATACGGAGGGAGAAAGGTCGTAAAAAACGTGGCTAAAACACGGCGTTTCTCCGACTGACGAGATATTACTACCTGTCGTATTAACTGACCCGCGTTGCAATAATAAAAGCTGGTTTTAAGGGCAGATGCACGAGGCCTTGCCAACACCGCTCCGGCTGGGCTGAGGTCGCCTCCTCTCCGCCCGCGCTTCCCGGCGGGCAGTGGCCGTCACAGGCGCTGCTCCCGAAGGAAAGCTCCGCGAGGAGGGAGCGCTACGGCCGCCGCGGTCTGCTGCGTCCCGGCCTGACCGACCGCCCTCCCCGCAGGCCGGCTTTGGTG